CCTAAAACTTAAACCTAAACCCTAAACCCTAAAACCTAAAACCTAAACCCTTAAACCTAAACCCTAAAACCTAAACCTTAATACCCTAAATCCTAGTTAGTCCTCTCCAAAGGCACTGCAGCTCGCTGTGCTGCGTGATGACGATGCCGTGGCCCGTCTTGTCGTACTGAGGTCGTCCTGATCGGCCAAGCATCTGCATCCTTGGAAAAGGGGGTACAGCACTTTGGGTTTATGTTTAGGGTTTAGGGTTTAGGGTTCTATCAGGCAAATATTGGTGTTACATTGGGGTTATATTGATATAATGGAAAATACAATGGAAACTACCATTTAGGGTTTAGGGCATCTGTATCCTTTTGGAAAAGAGGTTTAGGGTTGTTTGTTGTTCGGGGTTTAGAAGGGGCATCTTTGGGAAAAGGGGGATTGAGGTTGAGGGTTGTTTAGGGTTTAGTAAGGGTATAGGGTTTCTGAGGTTTAGGGTTTTGGGTATTTCTGCATCCTTGGGAAAAGGGGGATTAGGGTCTAGGGTTGCTTAGGATTTAGTAAGGGTATAGGGTTTCCTTGGGAAAAGGGGGATTGGGGTTTAGGGTTTAGGATTCACGGGTTCTGAGTTTAGGGTGTAGGGTCTAGGGTTTGGGATTTAGGATTCGAAGGTTTAGGATTCAAGGCTGAGGCAGGGGATAGGTCGGAATAAGGTTGCAAGGTCTAGGGTTTGAGGTGCTCCTTAAGAATCCTTGGCATCTTGAAACAATGTAGATACCAATAAGGTCGTTGTCGCTACTCCATAGTGGAGAACCAAAAGGAAAACAACGTGCAAAATCAAATAACCGTAGTAGTGGGAAACCAAACGGAAAACAAAATGGAAATCGAATGGAAAGTGAGGTTTAGGTGGAGACTGAAGACACGAGGGAAACGCAAACGGGGACCAACCCTAACCCTAAGTCCTTATAGCCTAAATCCCTAGAGCCGAAACCCATGAGTGCTAGATAAAAGGGTATTGGGCTCTTCGGTAGGGTCAAATTATTATAGGTGGGCCGTTTCAGGAACCCAGAAACCTTATAGGCCAGGTCTTAGGTTTAGGACTTGATATTCTTTGATGATTTCCAAGAATTGCGGATCCCTGCTTTGGGTGTCCCCTGAAATCGGGGTTCCGAAACTTGGTGTCTTTTAGGGCTCTTATAATAAGGCTGGTACTCTCTTAGAGTCCCCGCATGCAGGCACGGAATTTCTTGTGATATATTGTTTTGGAGGTCGGCATGATCGAGAAGCATGCTTCCTCTCATTCCTGACCCCACTACTCGCTTGCTACTAAGGACCTTTTAATTCAGGGCTTAAGGTTTAGGATGCTACCCTAGTGATATGCAGTAAATGACATGGCTTCATTCCCAAGTCACTTAGCGTCAGTTCCCGGACAGTAAGATACCTATGCACGCCCTGTAGGCTCGCGTGAGATCCCACAGGATCCCCTCCAGCGGCAGGAGCTCTCCAAAACGAGCCAAGAACACAAGACCTTACACCCTTCATCCCAAACAATGAACGAAAAAACCTACCCTAAACCCACTCTAAAAGCTGAACTCTACCTACACACAACACCCTGAACCCTGAACCTCAGCCAAGTCTCATGTCCATCGGTGAGAGCTCATCCCACTGACCCTTCTGAGGGTTGTAGACCTGCTACAGTGTTTCGGGTTTAAGGTTTAGGGTTTTGGGATGAGGGTTTAGGGTTTCAGCCTTAGGATTGAGGAATTTAGGCTTCGGGCGTTCGAACCCTACGCCTTGACCCTAAACCCTAAACCCTAAAGCCTAAAGCCTAAACCCTTAGCTAGGGTTCAATGTTCAGGTCTTTGCACAGGGAGTCCCAGAAATTCTCTGAGTATGTGGTAGTTTCCCTAAATTACTGTTCCCAAAATGGGGGAAATTTATATAGGGCCCCGTATTATAATGGGAACCCAAATATAGGACCCCGTATTATAGGGGATTTAGACCAATACCCATGTTTGGGGGAAACTACTCACCTGAAACTTCCTTAGATGGTAAGTCGGTTATAAATGGGCATGCAAGTCCCCTACTTGGAGTGGGCCCGCTTGAAACTCCCCTTCTAACCTACTTACACTTACAGAGCCTCCTGAGTTTCTAAGTAATTCCTCAGTTCCAAACCTAATCCCAAAACCACCACCAGCGCCTACGTCCGTAAACCCCTAAACCCAAAGCCCTAAACCCAAAGCCCTAAACCCAAAGCCCTAAACCCAAAGCCCTAAACCCAAAGTCCTAAACCCTAAGTCCTGAGCCCGGAATCCGAGTGCCTAAACGCGAAACCTTAAACTGTCAACCCTAACCCTAAACCCCAAACCCTAGACCCCTGAACCCTAACCCCTGAGAGCCTGCGTGCCCTTGATGATCACCGTGTGTGCTGGCAGGTTGACACCTTGCATGCGCAGGTTTCAGGTTCAGGGTTGAAAGTTTAGCGTTCAGTGTTTAGGGTTGAGGATTTAGGGTTTAGGGATGAGGGTTTCGGGTTCAGGGGCATGGTTTTGCGGTTTAGGGGTGGGGGTTTAGGGTTGAGAGCTCAGTTTTAGTCTAGAAGCCATAGTAATCACCAGCTTTCACATGTCTATCCTTGTGTAACTTAAAATTCCGTAAAATTCTTAGATTAGAATACAAGAAAGGTCCAGGGTCCGTTTTAACTAGATAAGCCCCTACATGAGAAACCCTGCACCAAATCCCATATAAGCCCCGTTTCTATGTTGTTTGCATTCGATCCTGCACCTGTTCTTCTTATAGACCAGCTGTTCAAGTGAGTAGTGTTTTTTTTGTGGTTGAACCCTGTAAATAATATTCCTTATATAAAATACTATACCCAAAAGGAGGATATAATCTTACGCTATAGTGGGTACAATCGTATCCCCAAATAAAATACGACTCAAGTTACTGGCCCCTAAAAGGTTGACCGTTTAAACATGACCGGATTTCATGTACCCCAAACGGTTCAAGATCATCCAATGGGCTACCAAGTCCTCAAGCCCAAACGCGAAAGCCTAAGACCTATAGATGCCTCTTGCAGGGCTCAGGTACACACGGTTTAGGATTCAGGGTTCTCAGCTTACTGAGAATAGTGGGTTGGAATTTCCATGTAGAAGCCCATTTCCCCTAAGCCCTAAAGCCTGGAATAGGCGTCTGGGGTATCTTGTCCTAACGCCATGACGGCTCCCACATTGGGACTTTTCACAGGTTTAGGGTTTAGGGTATAGGGTTTATGGTTTAAGGTATAGGGCTTAGGGAGGTCTGAAATACTTTTGAATCAGGATGGATGTAGATTGCTGGTGGCCAACAGTATAGGCCACAAAGCACCGGTCTGTATGTACCCAACGTAAATACGAATACAACTACGTGGCACTTAGGACCCCTACTAAGGGTTAACCCCTGATTACTTATAATAGGAATATAAGGGAATCCCAAAGGGTTAAGGGTCTAAGGTCCAAGCTACTTCCCAAGGAGAAAAGAATGTCTCAGGGAGTTTTCCTTTGGACCCTTAGGGTTTGTACCCTTGGGTTTTGGGTCCCTAAACCATGGAATATGGTCCTCAATAAGGGTATTTGGGACCCCAAACTTAGGGGTACAAACATTAAGGGTACAAACTTAAAGTCTCTGAATGTCTCAATGCAACGTGGTACCCTGCGGACACCCAGGCAAAGCACAGCTTCTAGGGCGCCAAAGTTGCTCGCGCTTCACTGAATCCAAATGAGCCATTGTCTACACTCCTAGTATCCTCCCAATAACCCCTACAGTAGTCCCCTATGTAATCCCCTATATAATATAAAAAACCTTTAAGGAGTTTAGACTATAGCTCAAATGGGTTCTTAAGGTACAACATGAGGATAGGGATTATACTATACTGGGATAATGGAGCCTCATGCAGTTCCTATCTTTTCACAGCATTGACACAAGACATCGTGCCTCGCAGCAGCTTCGTCCTTTGAGTCTAGGGGTTTAGGGTTGGGGTTTAGGGTTTAGGGTATAGGGTTTAGGGTTTAGGGCCTGCCGTCCTCATCCTTGTTAGCACCAGCTTGCAGCAGCAACTGCACAATCTGCCTGCGGCCCTTGCTAGCTGCCTGCAAAAGCGCTGTCCTGCCAAACTGATCCTTCAAGTCACTTTCAGCACCGGCTTTCAGCAGCAACCGCACAATCTCCGTGTGACCAAAGAAAGCTGCCTCCACAAGAGCTGTATAGCGGTAGCAGCCGTCGCTAACCTTCAAGGCCGTTTCAGCACCAGTTTGCAGCAGCAACTGCGCAATTTCCGTGTGGCCGGAGCGAGCTGCCTCCATGAGAGCTGTCCTGCCGGCTTTGTTTTGCAAGTCTGTGTCAGCACCAGCTTGCAGCAGCAACTGCGCAATCTCCGTGTGGCCGTTGCTAGCTGCCTCCATGAGAGCTGTGCTACACATAAGGCCATGCCGTGCGTCCTTGTCAGCACCAACTTGCAACAGCAAGTGCGTCATCCCCGTATGGCCCTCGCAAGCTGCCTCGATGAGAGCTGTCCTGACGGCAATGTTTTGTAAGTCCTTTTCAGCACCAGCCCGCAGCAGCAACTGTATGACCTCCAGCTGCCCACGCCCACAAGCAGCACGAAACATCTTGGTAGTCTCCCTGAGCTCCTCAGCGGTGGATGCTGTAGCCAGGACAATCTGTAGGTGGATTGGAGCATCAAGCACGTCTGGTTGCCCTGACCGGGTAATCAGCGAGCTGTTGCCATCCTTGAGCAAATCTATCTTGGTTGAATCATCCAGCCTCTCGCCCTTGTGCAGCAGCTGTTGCAGGCAGGTCGGAAAGCCATGCAGATTGCACAGCTCATGCTTCAAGTCGCGTATGTCACGGACGTTCTCAGGGCTAATAGGAGGCAGCTCCTCCCCTGAGATCTTGCAGATCCGTAGCATGCAGACGAAAGGCAGATTAGCGGCAGTCGCTGTTGTGTTAACTAAACGCCATGATTCTGAATAACAGCAATCAATGCCGTCAAGGGATAGCTTGCGCCCGAATAAGGATAGGAAAGTTGCAGCAAATACAAGTTGTATCTTCATTTTCTGGTGTCAGAAGCATTGAAGGTCATGACCGACTTATCGAGTACTATAAGCTGAAGGCGAATCTATTCTTACTCTATATAGTGCGGGCTCTTGGCCTCAACCCTAAACCCTAAACCATTTCTGATGATGAGGATCAACTTGGGGCCACCTGCGGCAAGGAAGAGTCCATTGATGTAGGGCCGACCCCAAACCCAACGCGACATGGCGGCACTAGGAGATGCACAGCAGTGGGAATGGTAACAATAGGAATGATCAAAAAAATAGAAATAGTAGTAATAAAAAATAATCACCGTAATAATCGTAATAGATGTAGAAGTAATACTAATAGAAATAATTACGAATAATGATGAGAATAGTGGGGGTAGTAGCCGTAGAGACGAGCTCTAATCCAGGAGGGGGCAAACCCCACGACCAATTGGGCTCGGGTAATGTAGATGCGTGAAGAATAAACCCCCTCCCCTTAACACTGATCAGAATAGGGATCCTAATATTAAAGCCATCGAAAGCAGGGAGTTTATTAATCAGGGTCTATTCATGGCTTTGTGAAAGAGAACACATCCGGAATGATTCCGCAAGGGGGCGGAGGAAACTCCCTCCGGTACCCCAAATAACAACCATCCACTATCCCCATAGCTACAACACTTACTCAATCCCCGACCCTCCAGGCCAGCACTGAAACTCTACATAGTCCCAAGCACTCCTATATATAACCACAAAATTAAGCTGTCAAAATTATGGTACCTTTTGAGCTTACTAGTGCAATATGGCTGGATCATGAGGGCACTCAAAAAAGGGGAACCTCATCTTGACGAAGCTCCATGTAGCCCAATGGGATAATGGAAAAGGAAAATGGAAACTACTATATTATAATAGGGTATATATAGGAGTTATATTGGGATAATGGAAAAGGAAATGGAAACTATCATATCATAAGGACACTCCTGTTGTGCTCTCGGCCGCCCACCCCACGCCAGCGTGGCGGTAGACACTAGGACTTGGATGTGGCGATCGGCGTACAAATCCTGCCAGGCGTTCAGGGATCAAGTAATGTTGCAAGGCACTAAGGACTCAACGGTGATTCAAAGAGATCATGGCTCTGCGGTTCGCGACTACCCTCCCCAAGCCAACAGGAAAGACCATCTAGCGCCAAAGCTTGAGCCCCAAACTCTGAATCCTAAGCAGTAGACCTTAGATATCCCTGTAACCCCTGTACGGGAACCCTGTATGTAGTTCTTAACCTTGACAACTTGAACACCAACCCTGAATAAGAAACCCAGACGCTACAACTTTAAACTGGCAAACCCGTGAACCTCTAAACCCTACACCCCTCTTGGCCCAAACGCGCCAACCTTAAACCCTAACCACTATTCTAAGCCCTAAACCTTAAACCCAAAAACCTTGACCCTAAAGCCTAAGTCCTAAACTCCCTCAACCCTAAACCTTAAACTTGAGCCGTAAACTGAAGCCTCAAACCCGAAACCCCAAACCCCAAACCCCATACCCTTGACCCTAAACCCTCTCCTCCACAAGCTTTCGGTCGGCGCGCGGCAGGCCGGCGTGGTGCACTGCGAAGCCGTAGGGCAGCAGGTCTTGCACCTGAATTTAGGATTTGGGGTTTAGGGGTTTAGGGTTTAGGATATAGAATTTAAGGTTTAGGGCTCAGGACAGAAAGGTTTAGGGCTCAGGGCTGAGAGGTTAGGGTTTAAGGTTTAGGGTTTAGGGCTTCAGGTCTAGGGTGAACTTAAGGGTTTAGGGTCGAGTCCATGCAGGCTATTTGCAGCTGCCAACATAAGCTCAAACCACACCAAACGTGCATTGCGCAAGCAGGAGGGCGTGGGGATTGGGGTGTAAATGGCCTTGAGGGTATGGGGTACCTCTACAAGTCATAGGTGATCAGAGCACTCTAAACGGTAAACCCTAACCTTTAAATTTCCACTCTAGACCCTCTACCTGACATTGCCCTCTGTTCAGTCTTGTATGGCAGGCTTCTAAGTACGGTTTGGGTTCGAAGAAAGGTGCTCTGTGCCACCCTCGATTGTTTTTGAAAATTCAGAGTTTGAAGTTCAGGGTCGCAGAAGAAAGTGGTTCAGGGTTAAGGGGTTTGGACAAATCCTGTTACGCGCCCAAGTCATAAATATGCGAAGCGGATCAGACCTCAATCCCAACCATTGTCACGTCTCTACTGCAGTTGCAGCCCCTCTCCCTATCCTCCTCCTCCCGATGCCACCACAACTACCACTACCCACTACCACTACCACCGCTACTGCTGCTGCTACTACAACGACGACGACAAATATGAAGATGACGACGACGACGACTACTACTACCACCCTAAACCCTAAACCCTAAATAGTAGTTTCCGTTTTCTTTTCCATTATCCCCAATATAACCCCAATATAACATAATATTCCCCTAAACAATCCCCTATATAACCCCCTACCACTACCACTACCACTACAACTCCGAGTAAAAATGTCTTACTCTTCCGTCTTTGCTTCCTACACCACAAAAGATCTGCGGCCTCCGGGGTCTTCATCTGCTGGGCCTGCAGAATTGGACCGAAATACTTATAGTAATAATAACAATAGTAGTAGTGATAGCAATAATAGTAATAGTAGTAACGGTAGTAGTAGTAGTAGTAGTAACGGTCATATTATTGATAGGAATCACAACAATAATAAGAATAATAGCAATAATAGTAGCGGAAATTTAAAAAATGATAGTAATAGCAATCTTAATCACTATATGTCAAATAACGATAGTAATAGTAATCATAGTAATAACAATAATAGAATGGTAGTAGTAATGCTCGGAGTGGTCAGGGGAATAGGAGTCCGGGTTTAGGGATATATGTTTTACAGGGGCAAATCAGCGCATACATGGGTTGCAGGATATATTGGGGAGGGATACGGTTCATGGGGGAAGCTTGCACCACTTAGACTCCCCTACGTGCTGTAATTCCCGATGTCTGAAGGGGCTAAGGGTTTGGCAGGATTTCCTCCATCGGCAGTACAAGTCCTAGCTTGGAGGTGTTTGAGTGAGCTGAGTCGGATCTGGACTTCAGGTTTGGAAGGAACTGGCGCACTTCACAGGTTGCAACATTTTGGGGCTGCAGTTTCAACCTGCATCTGAGGCCTTGGATTCTCTTCAAGCCTCATCTCACGGAACTTACCGATGCAAGAAGCACAGAGGTGAAGTTGCAAGCACTACGGTAGCGTCGCTGGCCAAGTGACTGCTCATCCTGCGGCTCTGCGACGTGGCGGCCATTTGCTCCTTCAGCCATTGCCAGTCACCCTTGTCCAGCCTCATGGCCGCAATGCCCAAGGCTATCCAGAACTCCCGGGGCTATGGACTGTCGCAAAACGGTTTGCCAGCAAGCGCTTTTCGTGGGCTAGCAGCTTCATCACGTGGTTGCCCCACCAGATCCGGAATTCACGCGTGCCTTGTAAAGCACAGACCACCAAACTGTGAAGCGATGTTCTGTCCCTGAACCCTACCCTCTTCCAAACAAATTCGGGTTTCGGCTTCAGGGTACGCCGTAAGACCCTACATAAACATGGAAGCCCATCTTGTATCGTACTGGGTTTAGGGATTAGGGTTGCTTCTACAAGGACAGTAGTCTTTGAAGGCACGCTTTTGAGATTCCATGTTAGTTTTGGGGATAGTAAACCCTTAACTGTGTGAGCCACGCGACCTTATCTGAACATTCAACTTTCCTCTGGTGGTTAGCAAGAAATGAAGGAATGCATCCTTCAAGTAGCCCCTAAAAAAACAACAATATGGCAACTTCCATGTTTGCTTTAATTCCTCGACATGTCCCTGTACAGACCCTACATAACGCTAGGTGCCATCATACAACCCCCAAGTAGTCGGGGTGCGGCGCATAGCCGCCCGTGTGTTTTCGTGCGTTTTTTGCAGGGCTTCAAGGGTGGGGAGGGGCATGATACCGTTCATTTGGAACTTTCAGGCTTTGCAGGGCTGCATGGGTGGGGGGGGACATGATACTATTCATTTGGAGTTTCCAGGTTTTGCCGGGCTGCATGGGGTCATTGCTAGGGGCAACAGTTGTTTAAAAAAATTGAAATTTTGCAGGGCTTCATGGAGCCATTGCGAGGGGCAAAGGTTTCTATTTCAAACTCGTGCCTTGTTAGGGACTATTTTCAATTAGGGCCTTCTTACGGACTATGTTATTTGAAGTTCGTTTGTTACCAGGGGATATTTGTACGTAGGACCTTCTTAGGGACCATTTCAAGTCAGGGTCTTGTTAGGGATTATTTCAAATTAGGACCTAATTAGGGATTATTTCA